AACTGAGCCATTCGGCCGACCCCACTGCTTTTATTCTTGTGGGTAGGATATTTCTCCTCCCTCTCTGGCACCTCCCCTTTTCCTAACTTACACGTCTCCTGTTTCTAGGGCACAAGCATGAGGCCACCAATTTCTCACAATCTATTTAAAAGCCCACTAAGTGGGGGGCCAAACCGCAATGCAGATGCACTTGTGGGCTTGGCCTCTATGGCTGTGCACATGCTCTGAGGTCTGTAAATGGGGCAGTCTCTAAGGGCAGTTTCAGCTGGGGCTAGTTCCTCCTCCTCCTGTTCATCTCTACCTTCCTGCCTGAGATCATAAGGCATGTGAAGTACTTAGCATAGCCTGCCAAATATAAGTGCTTAATGGCAGTTAGGTGTGATATGATTGTTTGCCCAGCACAGTGCAGCTGTTATCTCATTCAAGCCTCACAATAATCTTGCAATGTAAGTATTATTAGCTCCCTTTTATAGATTAGGAAATGGCAGCTCTGGTAGAGGATCAATAACTTGCTAAAGGATCACACAGCTAGCAATTGGCAAGTCTGCAATTCACTTTCCAGGTCTCTGACCCATGAGCTCACACTACACTACCTTCTAGAGTTTTCCTAGGCTGCTGCCCAAGGGGCTCTGCTCTGCAGGCTAATAAGCAGCATGGGGAAGAAATAGGGTTTGGGGGTGTTCTCAGCCCAACAACTAGGTGAGAGAGCAGCAGTGGAATGAAAGCCAGTTATCACAGTCAATAGAATTTAAAAGAACACATAATCAGTAAGCTATGTGGGAGGTTATATGCTGGGCCATGATTTATAGTCCATGATTAATGGTATGTAGTTCACCTACTGCAAGGTATAATTTGAGGAACACCCATCTTCCATCTCTCTGATCTTCAAATCAAACTCCTCCCATCCCTCACTCAAAATATGTCTGAAAAGCCAAGATTAGCGAGCCATTCCTTCATGTTATGATATTGTCCCAGTTGCTTCCAGGCAAAATGGAACACCACCAAGAGATAAAAGCCAGTCATTTCCACAGTGAGCTTATGAGTTAACAAACTTGACTTGATTCTCAGGGCAAAGAAGTTTGGATGGGATGGGAAGTGGGACTTGAGGGATAGGTCCAGAGTCTGCAACTGTGGGGACCTTGGGAAGCATAACAATGTAGGGCCCCAGAAGTATGGGACAGAGGGGCACATGGGGGAAAGAGGTCCCCAAATTCTTAGTTTTGCCACTGATCTCCGAGAGATTTGTGAAGTGTATGCATTTTTTAGCTGCAGTTCTCCTTCTAAGGGCTTCTTCCTTAACCACCATGACTTCTCTCCTGGAGTGATTATAAACTTGTTGTCCAAGGGAGGCTATATTTTCTGGTTTCTCTCCCCTACTTCCTCTCCTTTTATATTCAGTGGTTTGAAGGCACTATTTCCACAATTGTCCCAGCTCCTCCCCCCAGCTAATTTCTCCTCTGGTCCCTTCTCCCAGGCTTGCCTTTTCTCTTCAGCAACATCCAAAACCAGTGGATTATTAGCTCTGAGATTGGGCCCCGGGTCACTGGGAATCCTGGGTGCCTAAGATGGACAGATGAGCTGATTTAAGAATATCCCCAAAGGCTCTTTCAGAAATGACACAAAAGGGGCGGGGAACAAGGAGCATGTTGGCACCTCAGCAGCTCAGGGCTCCAAGGCCGCCCATAGCACCTGCACTTCGTTAGTGTTGCAGGCTCTTCTCACTCATTTCCTGTCCTTGAGTAAGAGAATCGGAATCAATATTATGTCCCAGTCCATTTTTTTCCCCGTTACAGAAAGACCTCAGAAAACACATTTGCAAATTGTTATCCTTGCTTCCCTGTAAGGCCCCGAATCTTTTTTTTAGCCATCTCTATCTAGATCCTTCTAATCTTAGGCTTTTTGCAGAGCTGGGTTAAGTCTTGTAAAGGCAGTGGCAAAGGTTAGAATGAGTGTCTGGTTGTGGGTGGCAGCCCCTATCGATTGTTTCCCCCTAAAAAGAATTTGGGGAGAGGGAGAAGCCAGTCAGCAAGCCAAAAATATGACCATTGTATTTGTGGAACACTTTGCACTGCTCAAAATATTTTCACATTTATTGTCTTATTTGATCCTCACAACCATCTGGTGGGGCAGATAAGGCAAATATCCATCCAACAGCTGAAGACACAGGTCACAAAGCACATCAGAGGAAGAATGGCCTTAGAATACAAGTTTCCTTAGGATCTTGGACTCGGGTTTACATCTCAGAGACCACCACAGCCTTTGTCAAATCAGGGGTGTTGGTATGCAGATGTTTGGGGTGTCCAAGGAGGGAAAGGAAAAAAGAAACCACACAAAATTGACCTACAATAGAACAAAATGCATTTTATGTGGTATCAAACCATGTTCAAAAGTGGTTCTGTTGGAATGCCTTCCCAATTATTTGCTCAGATATCTGAAATAGGGCAGGCTCCTCTCGTTGTTTCAACTCATTTTCATTGCCACACATCCTATTCCTAGATTCTGCCTAAAGACTACACAGTTGCTTTCTTAGCTCTAAACTGTGGGTGTAAGAAAAGGAGTGGGAGGAAAACAGTACTGCCTTTCATGGCCCTCCATAAATATCACACGACTGTGAGGAGGGAGTTTTTGATAATTTCTAAGTCAGCGGGACATCACTGACACACAACACTTTGTGAAAGGCAACCCTTCTCCCCCACTAGAAATTGATAGCGAAAATGTTATGCTTGCTCTATTTTCATGTTTCCCAAACTGCTGGCACAATCCATTAGGAAGTTGTAAAAATCAATTCAGCAGGCTATGATCAGAATTAAAAAAAAATTAATAAAATGGAAAATGCCAGAAACACATTGCAAATAGTTGACCCTTGAACGACAGAAGTTTGAACTTTATGGGCCCACTTATACGTGGATTTTTTATTCTTGTAAACAGACTATGTAAACTTACAGTATTGATACAGTGTAGTACTGTATTTTGTTTTCCATATGATTTTCTTAAATTTGCTTTTCTCTAGCTTACTTTATTATAAGAACAGAGTATATATTGGGTTGTCAGAAAAGTCATGATGCATTTTTGCAACGAAAAACAGAAAAAATATGTCATCACTTTTCCGACAACCCAATAATACATATACAAAATACGATAGTGGACTGTATTGGTAAGGTTTGTGTTCAACAGTATGCTATTAGCAGTTAGGTTTTGGGGGAATCAAAAGTTATTATGTGGAATTTTCACTGCACGAGGGGGGGGTGTCAGTGTCCCAACTCCTGCGTTGTTCAAAGGTCAACTGTAGTATGCGGGAGTTTCATTTTAGATATAAAATTTATTAGTTTGTTATATTTTATTTTGTTTTTTAAATTGGGGAGCTGGGGGAGAACAGTGTTGGGGAATTGGGAGAGGGGACCAGCCAAATTGTTCTTCAATCTTAGTTGTGGAGGGTGCCAGTCGCCATTTGGCTGCCCATCATGGCCTCTAAGCTCAAGGTGCTGTGTTCAATCATAGTTGCGGGTGGGCGTAGCCACCATCCCATGTGGGAGTCGAACTGGCAGCCTTGTTAAGAGTGAACACTCTAACCACTGAGCCATCCGGGTGGCAGCTCAGCTCAAGGTGGTGAGTTCAGTCTTAGTTGCAGGTGGGAATAGCCACCATCCCATGCGGGAGTCCAACTGGCAGCCTTGTTGTTAAGAGTGCACGCTCTATCCACTGAGCCATCCGGCTGGCAGCTCACCTCAAGGTGGCGAGTTCAGCCTTAGTTGTGGGCGGGTGTAACCCACAATTGAACAGGCAGTCTTGTTGTTAGGAGCATGTGCTCTCACCAGCTGAGGCATCCTGCCACCAGTTGGCAGCTCAGTTCGGGTGCAGAATCATTAGCCCATGTGGGAATCGAATTGGCGGCCCTGTTGCTCAGAGCTCACGCTCCTAAGCTAACTCTTAACCAACTGAGCCACTCGGCCAGCCCTAGCTTGTTATATTTATGCATCTGTGAACTGGGCTGTGACATTTTATACTTTTTACTGTGGGTTAGAGCAAAACTTTGGAAGGCTACTTCTGCAGAGGATGCATATACCTCAATCCCATATCTAGGCTGTATCCCAAGATATGTTATTTCAACAATACTTGACACGTTTTTTCAACAATACTTGACATTTCCCTACTTTTTAGTGCTTCTCTAGAAAGCAGGACTGACCTAATAGAGGCCACTAAGAGTCACTGAGAAATCTCTTGTATAGAAAGCTGCTTTTGGCAAAGGGCAAATATTAACATAACAGAGTTTGGTGGCAAGTGTTTTGATGAAATATTTTTATTATATAAAGCCAACTGTCAAATAAAAAAACCTAATATGCTCTACCATTTCCCCCAAATATGTGTAATATTAAAGCACAGCTATACTTATATTTTCTACTCTATAATAAATAATAAAAATCAACAAACGAAGCCCCTCTATCAATTTTTCTGCCTCACTAATTTCAGGCAAGTCATTTCAGCAATGTTCTAGAATAAAAGAAATCATGCTACCTTTTTGGCTTTTGCCTTTTGCTCCCTTCCCAAACACTGCACTTACTCTTTAACCTCATTGGGTCTATCTTTTCAAACAAAGCATGTATTATTAGGTAGTTTTCAAAATTTTAAGGGATATTGCCTCTTCTCACTCCTTTCCAAGTGTCTGTTGACATATTTTTGATGTAGGGTTAAAGTTAACGGGGCCATTCTTTCTGGAAACCAACTGTTATTTGGTTTCACTACCTACTGAACATAGCATTTTGGCTAGTTTCTCAAGATTAAAATTTCTAACGTCTCACCAGAATCTTCACTGCTATGTGAAACAGGTGATCTCGGAAATGTGATTATTTGGTATCAAAAGAGGAAGAACACGGTGGGCTGGAGAACAGACAAAGTCCAACTTGGCAACCATTGCTTTCAATATTCTAACTTTTTTTTTTTTGAAAAACCTTTCATTGTGAAGGAACAACAACCTGTTCTAGAGCCTTAAAAAAATCAAGACCTTAAAGAAAACGGCAAATTTTATTTTTTTCAATTTACAAAAATATGTCAAAAATACAGTCTAGTCCATATTAAGAGTAGTTCCAGCCATTTAAAAGGTATACAGTTTGGAAAAAGCAATTCATATACAGTCTTAAAACATACTTCATGACTAGTATACAACAACCATTCAATCCAATTATTGCTTGTTATATGCAGCTTTTACTTGAGAGTGCTCTCCACAAGGGAAAGAGCAGTGTTTGAGCATTCTGATTATTAATGCTAAAGCTGTGGTTTTAGAAAGCCAATCCAAAATCAGAATAAGCTCATTGAATAAAATATGACATATCAGTTTTGATTAGTACTACAAGAAGGAGTGGTCTACATTGCAGGTCCACCCCCTTCTCCTATTTAATTGTATTTTTGTAATATATCAGAAATGTTGGTGTGTAGTTTGGGGCAAGAGGAAATGAATTACTGGTTTCCAAATTAAGTGATAAGAAACATTGAGTTGCAATGTAGAAATAAAGCTGGCACATCCACTTTAAAAACCTTAAAACAATAAATTCAAGAACAGAACAATGTTTAAAGTTTAACCAAAAACCAAAGCTGTATTTCTTTCCCTTTAGATGTTAACATAAAATGAATCAATTTGTTCTTTTCAAGTGTATGGGCTTATGAAGATCTGATGCTCTCTATTTTCTCATTACAAAAACAAAGAGTTAGCCACATAACAGGAACGTGTTTTAAAACAAATCTATTTGCTCACAATGCCATATGGAAGACCAAATCATAACATTCAATGTTTAACTTTACTGAGTAAAAAAAAAGATAATGCAGTTGACAGTGTATAACAGTAGAACACAGGAAACAAATCACTTACTTTGGGGGCAGATAATACATAAGACTTTTGGCCTGAAGTTCACATGGAAGACTTAGAAATCAAGGGTGTCCGAAAGAGACAGCAATGGCTTTGTTTCCAACTTTCCTGTCAGACCCTGCTGCAGGGTCAGGTTTATTGCTGATATTTTACCCCCTTAAGTTGTTGAATAAATTGAGACATATATTAGTGATAAGTATGAGGTAAACTGGAAAAACCTTTAAAAATCATTTTTAGAATGAAAGTGATACTCATAACCATTTGGCAATGATAGTTATTACGTTAATGACTTACATCCTAAAAATAGTCTACATTTTTAGAAGGTAGAAGACAAGTACTAAAAACATACCATTTGGCCACTCCTCCTAACTTTTGGCCAACCTTGGCTTTCTATATTTCTCACTCCACATTCTCCCATTAAAGCTATTAGTCCCACTACCATTCTTTACCTAAAGTTATAAACCTGGAGCTGCCACGAAAAAGCCTTTTAAGAAGTTTTGCTTTAAGTCACTGAGTGCAATCAATACTCAGGTATCAATTAATAATATTTTACACCTCTCTAGTAGATTAATTCACTTCATAAGAACATGTCAACATTAAAAAACATTACTTAACGTGAAAGACTACTGAACATCTCTACGTGGGATTCTAATGTCAGAGTAGTTATGCAAACCTAAATTAGTAATGTTTACATTGAATTGATTTAAAACTGTTAGTATATAGCGTTATAATAAAACTGTATTAGCAGCATTTACTGAAAATAGGTATGTGTTCTACAAAATAACCTAATAAGAAAAAAATACTCCATTTTCTCCCAGAGTTATGTTGTGCTGATATCTCAGACATTATAAAAAGATTTCAATTTTGCCATAGGCTGGACTCACAGTGAATATGTTCATACAGAGGTGTGTTTATAATATTACTGTAAGAATGTCATTAGTGAAATGTATATAAGGCATGTAAAAAACTAGCATTAAAGCTCTTAAGGGCAATGAGCCAAATGGGCAGCTGCTAGAAAAGCTGCTGCTAGGAATAAAAAAGATTACAGAAATTTAGTTTCAGCACAAAATAGTTTATAGTGCTTCCACAATGAAATTAATGAACTCACATAAATTTGTTTTTCTGGAACTAATGGACCAAAGGAGATGGGTTTTTGCCCCCTTTAGTTACTAGACCAATCTTGAAAACGGAAGCAATCACTTGCAATCTTCCACACAGTGCTGTTCGGAGTGGACTGCGCAGTCAGCAGGAAGTTTTGATTGAAGAAGTGTTGCTTGTTTCCGTCAAACTTCACAGTTCCACTGGTCACAACAAGAACTGTAGTCTGGGCCTGAGTAGCTTGCTCTTCACCCGCACAAAAAAAGAAAAGAGGTTGGTTTCTATCTCTAAATAAGCAGCTTTTCAGGCTTAAAATACATTCCTTATCATTTAACACGAAAAAAAATGTTTCATAAACTTTTAAGTGTACTCATGAGTACCAAAGCCAGAAAACTAAGCATTTCAAAGATACTAAAATTATTTTCTGTCCAGAAAGATGTTGGGTACTTTTTTATTTTTATTTCTTTATTTCTTTTTTTAGCTGAGCCATCCTGCCACCTGTTGGCAGCTTGGCGGCAGCTCAGTTTGGGCCGGGACTCAAACCGCTGTTGCTTAGAGCTCACACTCTTGAGCAAGCTCTTAACCAACTGAGCGACTCGGCCAGCCCAATGTTGGGTACTTTAAAGTTTCAAAATAAAGAGCTTATTTCTAGCATAGGCCCATTTGGTTTCTGTATTTATTAATATCTCATTGGGTTTCTAACAGAGCTTTTTCATATTTTGCTTCTTAAGCTACTGTTCTTTTCAAGAACTTTAAAGGAAAAAGAAATCACCCTGAATTACTACTTAAGATAATTAGGACTCACCTTAGAGGTTAATCTTATAAACGGCATTGATCTACCCCGAATCTAATTCTGTCCTGCCAAAAGTCATCCTCTCACAGAACAGTCAATTTTTTCTGTGGAATTTTAATAAGTTGTAAGGTAATAAAACACGTTGATCAGAGATACAGTACAATTTTTCTCTGGAGACATTTTAAGGCACAGAAAGCAACTATTTAGGGAGGATAGATCATTGGTCCTCTCCATCAACAAAAATCACACTTAGCCTCAATTTCTCACATAACTCTTAATAAACTATACTCATTCAACCTGCCAAAATGTACCAGTGATCCACTGGAGTGTGACAGGTCTAAAGGACGACCAAAAGTTTGATTTGACAGCTGAACTTTTCATTGTATTTAACTTGCTCAGAAAAGTATACTCCTACCACTAAAAGTTGTTTGCTACTTTTGGTGTTAAAGCTCAAGGCTCACTAAAGGAAAACAAAGGCAGAACCTGGAAAGACCATGATCTTACCATGAACTGGTTGGCAATCTAACATATTGACCTGGAATTCACTAGCAGGCAACACATCAAAAAAATTAGCTAGGGCATCCAGTCCTGAAACAACATTTCCATTCCATATTAAAGTGGCCTTGTCCAAATAAAGCCTGGGCAGTGCCTAAAAAGGAAAACAAATTAAAAAGGAAATATTTTTGTTTCTGGGTAATCATTTTACAGAACTGGACTGAAAGGTTACAGGTGGTGTAAAAACATTTTCATAGTTCTACTTCCCCTGCCCCTCCCACTGGAAGACAACATGAACAAGTTGTCTGCCTTATAATCTTGGCCTTAAATAGATATTATCCTACTCTCAATAAGCTAGGCACTAAATACACCCGCACATACACACATTTCACTTTAGCCACAATCAGAAAATTTTGCATCCAAACTGGAAGAGTTCTAAAAATTTGCTTTTTGTATTAAAATGAATTAAATGATCACAAGTTTAAAGCACCTGCAGCCCCAAACCACTTTTAGTCTCCCTCCCTTTTCTGAGAATTAACTAAGTTGTCAATCACGCCCTACCTATATACTTCAATCATAGTGCTTATATACACTTAATGTTTGAACCACTTAATGTTGTGTTAGGAAGCTTTAACTCCTTTTACCACTATTCAAACAGCATCTTTAGTTCAAAAGAATCACGAGTACTTGCTAAAGCAGAGTT